AGTACATTACCAGGCTTGATGTCACGCTAGACCATCCCTAGGTGGTGATAATGTGCTATTTCCTCCATCAATGGTCTCTGTAGATGATGAGAAAATGGCCATGAAAATATAAGTTTGCTGCTGAAAATAGTAAACTGACAACATTAGTATTGTTGACATTGTTCATAAGATGCTAAAGTAAACACCAACTGAACTGCCACCGAGCAGTATACTCTAAGCGACACGAATATATCCTTTTGCCAGATTTAAACTATTGCATAAGAAAATCCACCACAGCCCTTACTCCCAACCGTTCAGAACTCTCACTGAATCTGACTCTAAAGGACCCAGCCTATCCCAACGTGCACTTTCCTACTTACCCTTTGGTCTAGACAACATGTACTTAATTATTTCTGAAGAGACCAAATAAATGCAAAGGATATGAAGGGAATGAAAAGGCATAGGCCAGATTAGATGTCTTGGCTACATATGTGATTTACTACTGCACTTGATACATATCTGTTGATTGTTATGCTTGAACATTTAGAAATCTGATTTATCTGTGGGATCTTGTGCCTTGATTGTTATTTAGGATAGTGAATTCCTAAATAATATATGATGTCGGACATTTTCGCTGTTATTATTAATACCTTTATTATAAAAGACGTTTCACCCCCAGGAAAACCTTTAGGATGTATAATTATCGTGGTCTAAAATGACTATACCAAGTAAACATAACAAGTTGCAAGAGCAAAAGCGACGGCGAAATGAGAGAGCAAGGGCTAAATATGCATCGTTGCCTGAAGAAGGAAAAGAGCGACAGCGACAAAAAAGCCGAGATGCTTATAAGAGAAGAAAACAACAGGCCTGTGAGGATGAAGCTAGCAGGTTGTTATTACAGCAACCTTTAGAAGTGAACGATGGAGGCCAACAGAATAGTAGCCTTTGTTATACAAGTAGATGACTTTAAATAAAAAGAGATAATCCCTAAGATACGTTTGACCAGGCCGACAAATTTTAATACATCATTTTTTAGATGCGCATGACCCTTGTGAAACAAGCTGCAAACAAACATCCCATGAAACTGAGACTCCGAACAACTGCCCAGGTTTGCAGATTGTAATTTGGATCAATTCCAGCACTAAACGAAACCTAAATGTATTATTAAAAGCCAAGGCTGATGTGTTATACATACATATATAGGCGCAGCCCCAAATGTTTGCTGTCAGCCCCCAGCCGACATGGAGACACACAAAAAAGCTCAGGTTGATCCACAGTTAATAACTTAAAAGCTTTAGTCTAATTCCAACTTATATTTCCCATATCCTATGTTAATCATATTCAAAATTGACACTTATAGATCAACCACTGATATGCAGTAGCTGTACTGCCCTGTTGACAGATGCTATCAATGATTTACCAAGCGTGACTATAGCCGAAGGTAACACTCTAATAGAAAGTAGTCACCTATTCTATGATAGATTACATTCTAAAACAGTAATCACTTGCAATTGTTGATTTAGGATCTTCATCTTCATTGGCTGTGAACACTCAGAAACCCTCCACTCGGATGAAGATATTGAACCAAATGACAGGTTAAAATTTTCAGATATAGAAAGCTCCCCGAATTTTATACATATCCCCAGAAAACTAAACATTAATAAGAATGAGTTGTTTCTAACTATATCAAAATTATTGATTAGTGCCAGCTTCTGCAACGAACAAAGAAACTACAAAAAAAAAGTGGTCTGGACGGCATAAACAAGGTAAATAAACATTTAAGAAAAGTGTTTCTAAATTCGCTTAATATACGTGCCTAAATCAAATTTTATCAAATGTAGGCAGCTCTATGACTAAAGGAACTGAATTGTTATCCTCCGTTATCTTAGAAGCTGATACTTTACCTGAAGTAGATGACTGTAAGTATTGCGGGGCAAAAAAATTCTTTTCAGAGACTGCTAATTTTTGCTGCTCAGATGGAGAGGTAGTGTTGAAAGAAAATAAGCTTTCAGACATGTTGATTGAATTATTTACGGGGCAAACTGAAGAAGCCTTGTGTTTTAGGACATACGTACGAACCTATAACAACATGTTTGCCTTTACGTCATTTGGGGTTCACTATGACAAGTCATTATGTAAGAGGACAAATGGGATATATACATTCAAGATACAGGGACAGACTTATCACTACATTAATCAACTTTTACCTCATGGAGGATCGGGGATGTTCTTACAACTATATTTCCATGACACTGAACATGAGCTTGTGAACCGAATGGCATTTTCTGCAAAACTCAGCGAGGCCGTGGTCTTAAAGCTCATAGAAGTGATGAAAAATAACCCATATGCTTGCTTCTTCCGTAGTCTGCGTCATGTCCCTAATTTAGAATCCCATCAAATAGTTCTCAAAACCCATTGTGATAGTGATCAAAGGGTGTTTAACAAGCCAACTGTATCTCAAGTAGCAGCGCTTTGGGTAGAGGGTGAAGGTGCGGAGCAAACATATTCAAGGCATATTATAGTATACACTAATGGTGGAGAAAGCCGTAGAGTTCAATACTACTATGGTTGTTACGATCCTTTGCAGTACCCTCTATTATTTCCCCTAGGTGAGACAGGGTGGCAACCAGGAATTAAGAGATCGGGGACTGGGAACCCAAAAAAATGAAAGAGATGTACTAAACATTACACAGATAATGCAACTTTACACAATTTCAGATCTGCCAATGAAGTGATACAATCTGAGGAACAAGGTCAGCAAAATAGCCAAGATTAAAATTTTATCTATTACCCCTACGTTTCAAGCAAGTAACTAAAGGTAACTTTTGTCATTTTATGCATCAGCTTTCAGCCAATTTGAAGACTCAAAAAAATATGTGTCGATGAGGGAATATTATGCATATAGGTTTCAGATGAGAAAACAAAATACACCTGGTATTTTGAACACTGCTCGAGCATTCCAACAATATGTAGTCGACATGTACGTGAAAATAGAAACACAAAGACTCGACTTCCATAGGAAGAGACAGAAATTAATAAGAACTAAACAGCTCCAAGAAGTAATGGACTCTGTTGTTGAAGGGGAGGCTAAGGGTTCGAATGTTGGCCAACGAGTGAAGTAATGGACTCTGTTGTTGAAGGGGAGGCTAAGGGTTCGAATGTTGGCCAACGAGTGATCTTGCCTGCTTCATTTATAGGAAGACCTCGAGTTATGAAAAGGCGTTATGTTGATGCCATGAGTTTGGTACAAAAGTATGGAAATCCTGACCTCTTTTTGACAATGACTTGTAATCCTTCATGGCCAAAAATCAAAAAAAATATGCTGCCAACAGATGAATCACAACAGCTCCAAGAAGTAATGGACTCTGTTGTTGAAGGGGAGGCTAAGGGTTCGAATGTTGGCCAATGAGTGATCTTGTCTGCTTCATTTATAGGAGGACCTCGAGATATGAAAAGGCGTTATGTTGACGCCATGAGTTTGGTACAAAAGTATGGAAAAGCCTGACCTCTTTTTGACAATGACTTGTAATCCTTCATGGCCAGAAATCAAAAAAAATATGCTGCCAACAGATGAATCACAAAATAGAGTTGATCTATGTGCTAGAGTGTTCCATGCAAAACTTGAATTACTGAAAGAGGAGCTCTTTAAAAAAGAAATCTTTGGAAAAGTTGCAGCTTATACCTATGTTGTAGAATTCCAAAAACGTGGATTACCCCATGCTCATTTCCTTATCATTTTACACCCTGCTTCAAAACTTTACTCAATGGAATCATATGATCAAATTGTATCTGCTGAATTACCTGATCCGGTGGAACAGAAACATTTATTTAAAATGGTCTGGAAATATATGATACATGGCCCATGTGGTGACAAAAAACCTGAAAATATTTGTATGCAAGAAACTACCACCAAAAAATGTAAGAACAAATATCCTAAAGATTGGGCAGAGAAGACATTGCATGGGGAAAACACTTATCCAACTTATAGACGACGAAATAATGGAAGAAAAGTCTTTGTATGAGGTCATGAGTTGGACAATAGATGGGTTGTTCCATACAATGGATATCTTCTAGCAAAATTTAATTGCCACATTAATGTAGAAATCTGCTCAACAATAAAAGTGGTGAAATATACATACAAATACATATACAAGGGTCATGACAAAATTCATTTCTTTGTTAATTCTGAAGCTAAATCTTCTGAAATAGATGAAATCAAAGAGTACCAGGCAGCAAGGTGGGTTTCCCCGATAGAGGCAATTTGGCGAATTTATAGGTTTCCCTTGTTTGATATACATCCTGCAGTCATCCATCTTCAACTCCACTTAGAAAATTATCAATCATTAACTTTTAAAGATGATGATGGTCTCCGAGATTTGATGAAAAACAAGCATGCAAAAATGAGTATGTTGACTAAGTTTTTTAGAATGAATGCTACTGATGAAACAGCAAAGAAGCTAAAATGCACCTACAAAGAATTTCCTGAATACTTTGTATGGTACCCTGGGAAAAAGTTGTGGGAGGTCATAAAACAAAGAGACTGCATTGGGAGAATAGTGACTGCAAACCCAATAGTGGGAGAGCGATATTTCTTAAGGCTGCTGTTGCTAAATGTGAAAGGGCCTAAGTCATTTGCTGACCTGAAATCATTCAATGGAGTTTGTGTGAACACATTTAGAGAGGCTGCAATCATGAGGGGTTTATTTGAGTCAAACAATCCTCAAGAGCAGTGTCTAGAAGAGGCAGCCTTGTTTCACATGCCTTACAGTTTTAGGAGGTTATTTGCTACATTATTAGTCTATTTCCCTCCTGCTGATGCTAGATCATTATGATTGAAGTTTAAAGGCTCCATGTCAGAGGATTTTGCTAGATTACCCTACCTATCTGCTGAGGAAAAGGAGCATAGGGTCCTTCATGAAATCAACAAATTTTTAGAGTCAATGGGAAAGAACATCAATACATATGCTTTAGTTCATAGAGTGCTGAAGTTTGATCAGGTTGGAAAAGGTACATGAGATACAATGAGTGAAATGAGTATAAAAGTCACAGAAAATGATATATCTGCAATATCATTATTAAATAAGGAGCAGAAAGCAGCATTTAATTTGATTATTGAAGCTGTCTTTGTGAAAAGTAAGGGTTGCTTTTTCGTTGATGGCCCTGGGGGAACAGGGAAAACATTTCTATATAGAGCATTATTAGCAGAAGTGAGGTCAAAAGGATACATAGCATTAGCCACTGCTTCATGTGGAGTTGCAGCAGCTATACTTCCAGGAGATCGAACTGCACATTCCCGTTTCAAAATTCCGCTAGACATGAACCCAAATAAGATGTGCAAAGTGAGTAAACAAAGTTCATTAGCAAAGTTACTCCAACGAGCAAAATTAATAATTTGGGATGAAGCACCGATGACACATAAAGCTGGAATTGAGGGAGTTGATAAATTATTCAGGGATCTAATAGACAGCTCTGAGATTTTTGGATCAAAGGTCATTGTTTTTGGAGGAGATTTCAGACAAGTATTACCAATTGTTATTAGAGGGTCAAAATCTGATTTTGTTCAGTCCAATTTAATAACATCTTATATCTGGCCTGAACTCCAAAAGATACAATTGAAAGAAAATATGAGAGCAAAATCAGACCCCAATTTTATAGAATATCTTCTTCGTCTCGGCAATGGAACTGAACCAGTTATATATGATGAAAATGTTGAGATTCCTGCAAAAATGCTTATCAGATATACCACTGAAGAAGAATCTTTAACTGCTCTAATCAACATAGTGTATCTAGATTTTTCAATTTTTGCTGGCAGCAATTATTCAGGAATCAATAGAGCTATCCTCACTACAAAAAATGATTTCGTAGATGTGATCAATGATACCTTGATCCAAAACTTCCTAGGAGATTCTTTTGATTATATCAGCCGTGACACATGCTTAGATCCTTCTCAACAAACAATTCTGGAAGATTTCATAAACAGCCTCATGCCTAATGGTTTACCTCCACATCGATTAACTCTAAAGCAAAATACACCAATTATGCTGCTTCGGAACATTGATCCACCTGAGGGACTACGTAATGGCACTAGACTTGTATGTAGATCATTAAAATCTAATGTAATAGATGCTATTATAAGCTCAGGCGAATTCAGTGGAAAACAAGTCTTTCTCCATAGGATTTGCTTTAGTGTTGAAGATGATCCAAATTGTCCAATCTCTTTTGAAAGGATACAATTTCCTGTAAGGCTTTGTTTTGCAATGACTATTAACAAAGCTCAGGGACAAACTTTAGACTTTGTTGGTATTTATCTTCGTGAGCCTGTATTTTCACATGGCCAGCTTTATGTTGCCATTTCAAGAGCTAAAAATAGCAATTCTGTCAAGATCCTTATACGTCCTCCTATACATGATATTACCTTGGACAGTTTGACTGCAAATATAGTCTACCAAGAAGTTTTGCACTTAGCTAATGCATAGTCTTATTAAACATATTATTTAAATGCACCTGCTGTATATACATCATGCCCCAATATTATACTAACATAGTTATTTTCCCAGCTATTTGCAGCAATACTGCAGAGAAAAATGGACAGCAACTTGGTTCAGTTCTATGAGATCAGCCCAGAGTAAAGTGATTGGATTACAATTGGCCAAGTCCTGGAGAAGCAAAAACCTCAAACTTCAAGGAAAGGAACTACATATCAGAAACTGGTCTTTGTTGATGCTGAGGTAATAGTTAGGCATCTACAATTATTTACTTTTATGTTACTCTGTCCTGTTCACAATTTCATTTCTAGATACCAATAACCCAAGATTTTAGCTTACAATCATAAAACTAATTTTGATTTGCTGTATAATGGATCTCACTCTAGAATTTGTTCAGCCTTATCGTACACAAACAGTAGCAAAAAACCCAAAAACTCCATGCTCAAGTTCTTCAGTTTATGTAGCTCCTGCTATGACCTTTCTAATTATTCATTTTCCCTTTTCCATACTCAAATGTGTTTTAATTAAAAATGCTAAGTCAGGTGCTTAACTTCAAGACTTCCTGAAATATCATCATAATAATAGCTGCCAAAATTATCCCTTTTGTGACCATCCCCAGATCTAACTTCCTACTGTGATTTTATCCCAATGAACATATAGTTTGTTTTCCCCCCTTTGATTACGAGTTTTAGAACCTTTTTGCTGTTGTACATTCCTTATCATTAAATTCTGCTTCCACCATTAATTGATGTGTAAGATTTTGTCTGCTGGATCAGAAGAATACGTAACTGAAATAAATAAAGCACCGAGTTAAAGGCTAAAAAAAAGAAAAGGGATCACAATCTCAGTTCCCGCAATTTTGCTGTTATACCTTTATGTTATGCTTCATATATACTACCACTTTCTCATGTAACTGGAAGCAGTTTTGATATTCAAAGCTGCTTTTTGGTAGTACAAGAAAAGGGTCTGAAAATGCCCATAGGAAGTTGTAGGCTTGTAGCTACCATATGGGACAAGAGAAGATACAGACACAGTAGGGAAGCGGTGGGGGGGAATCAGGATAAGGGCATTATGGATTTAGGAGGACGCATAGGGAAAACTATATAGCCAACTATCGTAGCACCAATTTTTCCCCACTTTGGTTTAAAAAAAAGTAAAACTCTTGAAGTAGGGAATTTTTTTCCTAATGTCTATTGACAGTGATGGAATCCAGTGATTGCAATAGGTTATTAGTCATTTAGTACAAGGCCATAAATGTGCTTAAATACATAGACATTACCAAAGGCTATAAATTCCCCTAAAGTATCAAAAAAGGCTGGTGTACGATTGGGTAAGGCTGGCCAACCTCACACTCAATTCTGTAGTGGGCAGCCTTTTCTTGCCTCTGCCCTTATCCAACTCTCAGTCGTAGTTAGTAGTAGTTAATAAAAGACTTTGCATTAAAACGGATTAAGGCCAGCCATGAAATGAAATGAATTATAGTTTCTTTTTGTGTCTAGGAGAAAGTGCTAATGCAGTGAAAAGCATTTGGTTGGCTCATGCTGCATTGACATTTGTGTTATGTGTGTACGTGTGTTTTAGTTTGATCCATCACTACTGGGCCTACTGTGGATATATGTGTACTATCTCGACTATTAGTTACTCTTCATTCTTCAATGCTCCTGGGTTGTTGGATTATTTGCTGAGATGATTGTTCAGTCAACTTCTTAATTAGGCATTAGCTTCATAGAGATGGAGAAATTTCACACTATCATCAAGAAAGACTTCAGTTTGGGATTATAGCGTTGCTCATATGATAGCACAACATATACCGGGACAAATGAATAGGGTCACATGATCAAATTTATTTTTAAAAAAAAATGATTCCCAACGTTTAGATTTTTTATTTTTTACCTATTGGTAAATGAGGTTACTATGAATTTTCATAAAAATGTGGTGGGAATTATATGTGGGGGGGGGGAACAGGGGGATTGAAGGATAGATCGATCTTCTCAACTTTTGATCAGCAACATACCCTTTATATGGATGGAGACATCACAATAGGTTTAGATCAGCCACTATTGGTGCCTTGGCTTTCATTGCTCTGCCCTTATATCTTGATCTCAATAATCTTTTTTCTTCGCCTCTCCTGCAATAGTATTATACTGTTATCCTTGTTATTAGGTTGATAGAATGCAATCAGAAAATGAATCATAGATATAATCAACATAATAGTCAATGAACTTATTTGCAATCTTTTAGATGCATAATGATTAAATCTAACGTTGAGATACAAAACACAAAGAACACGTCCTGGGATGCTAAAATTAACACAGGGAAGGGGACTGAAAGAAGTACTGGGCTTGAACGAATCCATATCTCGAAGATAAGTTCTATTTGGTAAATAGTCGAGAAGGATGCTGGGTTAGTAGTAGTGTAACCAAGTTTGGGTCTATGCCTGACTCCAAGAGCAATATTTTCTTCTGCTGACCTTCTACCACTTATTTACTACAGCTTATCACTTTTCCAAGATACTTGTTTGGTCATATTGCTTGGGTAGAATAAAAAGCTTAAACTTGGTTATGCTGTAGTTTCATTAACCAAGTCCATGAACATAGCTATAACTTGTGTTCACCATCAAACACCTAATCCCTCAACACTGGCAAAATCAGCTTCCCTCACAGGCGCTTATAAGGTAATTGGATATTGAATGGGAAGACCAAAAGCGATGTAGGTAGAGAATTGGCCAGTTGGTGCCAACTACTCTACTGCCCTATTGAGTGCATTTCGCCATAAAGCTAATTCGCAACTGAACGACCATGGAATTCACGCTAATTCAGCCTGCACTTTTATCACATCACTTTTCCTTCACTTTGTTTTTAAATAGGCAGTATTTGTAAGACTCCTAAATACTTTGTCTCCTGTAAACTACATGTGACGCAATGCCGGCCATTGTACTTTCTACAGAGGCTCTTAAAAATAACTAACCTTTGACATTCTACTCTTTTCTGCACATCCCCTATTTGTCCACTATTCCATTCTTTCCATGGATTTGTAATTGTTGCAAATGATCAGCTAAGTAATTTGGCCTTGTGCATAGACTTTGAACTGATATGTTCCACTACACCATAACCATTCACAAATGAAAACTTTTCTATTTCAGAGAAGAAAAGCACAAGCAATGATATACGGTGGTGACATCCATTTTTTCAAGAGACATTTCCAGCCATTTCGTCGATACTATATCTCCAGTGCAAAACTTGAGACAGTCCAGCCCAGATATAGTACTTATAGCAATGAATACTGCTGGGTTATTGACAATTCAACCGTTGTGCAGCAAGTTCATGAATCGGAGCCTCCGATGCTACCAGATATCTTCAACTTCAAACCGTATGGCAGAATCTATGAGCACATTGACACAGATGAAGAAATAGGTAATATTTGCCCCCTCTCATATTATTTTATAATACATTCATCCGAATAGACAACCTATCTCTACTACACAGATCTACTTGGAGTTGCTATACATGTTAACCCAAGGGCCATGAGGGGACCAACACCTACCAGAGAAATAATCATAGTCGATGAAAGGTACATATTACATCCATCCAATTAAACAAAATAACATTTGATTTTAAATAAACATGGCTAACTTGTACATGTAGCTCCCAACCTCTTGTCTTGATGCTTTGGGGTGAGCATGAATTTGATAAGGGCCAACAAATAGCTGACATGATCCACACACAACCAATCATTGTTGGTCTAAGAATTAAAGCAACCTCCTATCATAGTAAGTCTATGCATTTGACTACAGTAATGCTTCTGATTCTCACTATTACATACTGTTGAATATGTTAACCCCATATTCACCCCAAATATTAATGAAATAAAACTATTCTCTGTGACACATAGCTTTGAACCTATCAACCAAGTTTGCAACTTGTATCTTGATCAATCCTCCGACTGCTCAAGCAAATGCGCTTCGTACTTGGTAATGTCAACCTCTAACATCCAGCATAAACTAATAAATGACCTATTCTTAAAGATCAAACTTTACATCATACCTCCATTACCTAATACATTTTGCCACTTGCAGGTCAAGCAAAAATCAAGAAGCATTCCTGAAATTCATTGCAGAACGAACATATGCAGATCGCTTAAACCTCATCCCAGCTCCAGTCGATGATAGAGTTGTCACTATCAAAAGCTTGACAACTACAAATACGGTAACCATATAATCTGCAATACTCATGCAATTTAAAAACCATCTAAATAGCTGTACACCAATTGAACAGAAGCGACCATACTGGATAAGGGGAATACCAAACCTACTTGACCGGAGCCAGAAAATGTGGTACAATGCATGCCCTATCTGCTACAAGTACCTTAGAGCACGGCCGAACTTGGAATTTGACTGCACGTCATGCCACAAATGCATTCGTGTCAGCCCAAGGTATATATACTATTCTGCACAGTTACCTTCTTCCAACTTCATCATTTAAAATCACCAGCAAACGAACAGCAAAAAATAGCCCAAATGAATTACAACAATGATGGATGAGTTCTGTAATAAGTTTCACTTTTTTGCTCTTATCATCCAATCTTGATTAGTGGACTCATTTTAGTTTCACTGAAATGGATTGAGGGTTTTCTAAGTTATGCAGACTTACAGAGAAAGAGTTTTGTTAAGCCTACATTTTGTTAATCCGCTGCTTTTGAGGGACTCATTTTGTTATTCATAGTACTCATTTATAATGTGGATCTGAAGTTACTGCACTTATACTGGAGAAATTGTGCACAATATGTCCTCATGTTCCATATTACAGTAGTTTAAGTGGATCCTTCATATCTTTTTCCCCCTTATGTAAACAGGTGCAGACTGACGGTACAACTTATAGATCACACCGGCTCAATCACCCTTGATCTCAATGGCAATGATGCTGAGCAACTGCTACCTTTCACTATCGTTGAAATCCAAAAGCAAGAGATACAGGTACAAAGACAAATGGCCC